GTGTAAAAGCCTGCTCTTCTAAGAGCCTTGCCCGGCTCTGGAAATCACTTCATATATTACTTATATAGTGTTGTGGACCACTATGTTGGAGCCTTGATGTGTAATGGGCCCCAGAACTGGACAGTAAATGATAAATGATCCTTTTAGATTTCACTTCAGAATTCCACCCCTCACAGTTAGGATCCATCAGGAACCCCCTTTTACATTAAATTCTATTCTATAGCAAAGGCTATGACAATGACCCTTCAGGCACTTGTCATATGTGTCCATGTCCCCACATCAATTTGTCCTCATGTGTTTTTAACACATGCATTACATTAGTGGTTTACAAATTATCCCCAAGGATCCACTTAGGTGCTTCGAGAGGTTTGAAAAAGTTGGATTCAAGCATTTTGTAAAAATATATAATTCTAATTATTTATAAAATGCAGTTAAAAAATAACCTGACATATTTTAACATAGCAGAGACCTGCAAGTCATTACTTCATGCCACCCGATTCTCTGTCATTCTTGTGCAAACAGCTAAACTTTAATTGTATGATTGTTTAAGAAAATTGTAGTTCTGCATTAGTCTTTAAAAAAGCAATATAGAGCAACACAGAGGATCTATGTACAGAAAATGGAACCAGGCTTACAGCACCACGACACACAAGGTCCAGACATGTCTGCCCACCACATTTCCCTCCAAGGCCTAACAGTGAATTGTGCACAAAGAAGTAATGGTTTAACGCATCTCCTTATTGTTCTACTGTTAGTTTTAGTACTTAGAATAAGTATTATATTTTTCTAGTCTTTTATGTTTATTAGAATGTATATCATACTTGGTAATTTTTGGTGATACAACTTTGAAATAAAATTTTTCTACTTAATTCCCTTTTCAAACGCAATCTCTCTAGCAGAGTATCTGGGCATTGCAACATGAGCTATTTACAAATTGTTAGCACATCTGAGCAAATGAGAATTTCTGTGCAACCAAAACCAAATGAAGACATCAATGAAGATATCACATTAGGGTGACAAGGCTGCAACTGTCATTCACACTGCCCATTGTCCATTTTATCTTCACAAAACAGACACATTCTTCTACTGGTTACTGTGTAAGCAACTTTGTTAAAAGTATGTCAGAATTTGAGCATTTTACTTCTACCATTTGGCCCAAGCCACCATCCTCTCGTGAATTATTCCAGGGTCTCCTCATCTGTCCTCCTGCTCGTTCACCCCTTGCACTCCCTATGGCCTGTCCTCAATGCCCAAGTCAAGGCGTTTTCTGCCCAACACTCTCCATTGGCCTTTTCCATTCCCTTAAAAGTAAAAGTCAAATTCCAAATAATGGTGCACAAGGCCCTGACTAACCTGACACCTTGTCACCTTGCAGACCCCAACTCCTGCTACTCCCCACTGAACTGTAACAGTCACGGGAGCCTCCACATGATCCTCAGGCACCCCAGTACCCTCTCACACCAAGGCACTTGACCTTGCTGCTCTGCTCCTTCCACCTCAAGTGGTCTTTACTTCCTCATTTCCAAAACGTCTTTAAGAAGCAATGGTTTAACCAAATGTTGTCTTCTCAATGAACCCCTTCCACATCATCCTTACTAACAGCTCCACTCCATGTGTCCTGTCTGCCAGGTTTTATATCTCCCCCTTTCACTTATCAGTATCTGAGATAACTCTTGCTTAAATTATTTATTTATTGTCTGTCTCCACCAACTACAGTGTAAACTCCATGAAAGCAGAGAATTTTGTCTATTTTGCTCCCTTCTGTATCCTCAGATGCCTAGAACAGTGCCTGGCACAAAGTAGCCAGACACACAATAGATATTTGTTGAATTAATACAGTATTCTATATTTGGATTCATCACAAAATTCTTATCAATAAAATACCATGTTTAAATGTTTTCTATCATGGGGTCATTTTTAAGATTTTTTTTATGAAAAAAGAGTTTTAATGCCACAGAAAAGAGTTGTATAAAATTATAAGTTCCAGAGAAACGTTTATGTCTTCATTATAATTTAGAACTATTTATAGTCCTCAGCATAATACTCCAACAACCATGCGGATGGCACTGATCCAAAGGCCATGCATCCTTTTGAAACAGAGTCTCTCTCTACCCACTAATCTCCACATATGTACGACAATGATGTTCTATTTAAAGGGAATATTCTCACTTTGGGTTATATCATAAACTTGATAAAATAAATTAAGGCCACCCTAGGTCTTTCCTAAAACTATTTCAATAGTCTTTTCTAGCACACTCTGTGATCATCATTTTTGCCACATGCATCTGTTTACTCAACCCTTTCTTCCCATACGACAGTTTCTTTCAAGTATACAATTTTTGTTACATCTTCAAATCACACACATTCATTAATTTGCATATACCTTTGTGGAAATATCTGATACACAACTGACATCCTATTGAGCTCAGTGTAAGCCATGTGGCTAAATCATGGCCCATGCCCCACGGAGACTGCTTTTCCTGGATCATTTAGTATACAGCTCTTCTCTCCAATCTCCACTTCCCTCCATTCCACACTGCTTGGCAAGTCTATGATTTTAGAACAGCTTTGCCTACAAGTGAGCATCATAATTTGAATCTTCATCAGGGACAAAACAGGAGACTTTGAGAATCCAGATGTGTCAGTTATGCCAAGATTTAAATATTTTCTCCTCAATCTAATGACTTACTTATCCTAATGATATTGCACAGCACAGTATGATGAAAATCGGCAGAGTGATAATTTGATATTACTTTTATTCCCAAAGTTTATAAAATTTAAAAATACTTATAACAGTCTAGTCACAATTGGCTAAGTTATTGGTTGCCATTAATTACAATAGACTTTTCAGTCAAGGCATAGATGTGTATGTTTTTTATACTAATACATGTTATACCAAAGTAAAAATAAATTGATATTGTGGCAGTAGAAATGAGTGCACTGGACAGGGATTATGGAGCTGGTCTAGCTGCATCTAATTCTTGAAATCACCAAGGAAGTGTGAAGTCCAAGTAAATTTTATACAGTTTATACAAAAGTCAACAGGAGATGTTTTATTGCAGCCTTTGATCCTGATGGTTCAAAGTGAATAGAATTTGCACACTTTGAAATTTAAGCACTATACCCACCTATGTGTTATCTATAACCATATCAAAGTAGACACCAAGTTTTCAATAAAAATACAAAACATTCCTGCATCACAAGGTTGAGAACAGAAAAACAAGCACCTGGAGTCAATAAAATACAAAAATCCATCAGCTCTGCTGATCAGTATGAGTTTACACTGAAAGAAAAAAACTGCTTGACAGGATTCTAGACACCAAACTGAAAATTGCATGTCACATCTTGATCAACTCTTCTTTAATCACATTCTGTGATTTCTATTCACAAGAACATACTTCTTTTTTCTGATTTATTTATATTGAGATCTTCACCACCACTGTGATCTCTGTAGTTTCTACTTCTGTCTTTGTCAATAACTCTTCATTGACAGGAATATTAGCATGCCTTAATATAAAACCAAATTCTGCATACCACTAATTAACCTGTTGCCATTCTGTTAAAAAAACAAACAAACAGAATCCCAGATTTTATAAGCATTCTTTTCTGTCACATCTGCTATTCAGAAGATTCACTCAGGGTGAGAGATACCGGCAATTAACATTTCTAGCTTTCCCTTGCACAGCACCCATAGGACAAAATCACAGTGTTGGCCATCCAGTGTCCTAAGCAGAGGTCCTCCTAAGCAGCGGGGTACCACGTGAGGCAGCCACACCTTATTCTTTGTGTGCTGAAAATGGGCAAGTCTTCCAAAATCAAAGAATCTGAAGGGTCATAGAAAGGGAAGAGATTTTGGTTTTTAGTTTGTAGGGCATTCTACATCTTTTTCTTTTCTAGATCAAAGTTCTCTGGAGAGTCTGGCAGGAGCAGCACTGTTCCTGTCAATGCTGACACCTGGCTGGACCCATGGGCGGCACATCAGTTAGGGATGGGAATGGTAAGAAAAATCAGCTGGAGGGAAGAACATAGGTTGACTGCTTTGCCTCAGCATTGTCTCAGGGTATTCTAATAGGAACTGGCATGGGCTTCCAAAGCTGTGAGCAGATCTGCAGTGTCCTGTTCCCTGCCTGACCACTACCCAGGGCATTCCTTCAACATGTAATGTCAAGACCTCACTTAACCTACATTTTTTCGCTTTCTGCTGAATTCTCTCAAACCCAGGAGTCCAGGACAAGAGGAACTCCACCTCATTCATGGTTGCAAGCACTGGGCATCAACACCACCACCTCAGCTGAACAAATGTAGCAAATCAATAAAACATAATTTAGTACCTTTCAAAACAAAGAACATGGATTTCATCTCCTTCATAGAGTTTTCAGGTACACAAGCATCATCACATTTTACAACTGTGGGAGTGGCCACCTATTGTCTGTGCTGCAGTACCACTAGATGCCGCCAACACCCATTTGAAAACTTGAAGACTCACTCTTATAAGAGTTTGTAATTGCACAATGGATCAATAAAGTTCCTCCAAATTTCACTGCAGTTAGAACGTTTCCACCTTAACCAACCATGTACAAACATTTAAAAACTTGCTATGCTTATTAACGCCTCTTAGGGATGAAGACTAGCATCTATAGCTATCCTTGGCTTTGAAAATGCTCACTGTAAAGGAGGACTTCGGTGATCCTCAATTATTTCCATCAACCACCTACTTTGACCAATTGAAATCTTACCTAAATCAAAGGCCATACACTAAAATGACCAAGAAATCACTCAAGTAAAAAGCCAAAGTTTTCCTAAAAAATCTCTTCCACACTAAAAATTCATTCCGAGATCAAATCAGGACGCAGATTCTCCCAAGGTGATCCTTCGGTTTCACCTGGCTGACTCTCTCTGGGGAGCCCCTGTCCTCTTTTCAGACTATGCATGCTTTCCTGAGAGCCACAAGATCACACTCCAGCATTCCCCAAGCCACAAGCAGGGAGGCCAGGACTTACGTTATTCATATACTCGCTGAGCAGGTCCTGGAGCGCCTGACGCACGGCGTTGCACTCGGCCACGATCCTCTCGCGCCGGTCGTCGCGGGTGCAGGACGAGTCGGCCATGAGCGCCGCGCCGCTGATGATGCTCTCCAGCCTCTCCTCGAGGGACGGCCGGAACCTGGCCTCGCTGAACGTCATGGGGTCCAGGATTATCTTATTCTGAAAGCCGAACAATGAAAAAATCAGCAGAGAAGAGAAGATTGACTTTGCACCCTGTTTTCTAAACCAGCAATATGGGAGGCGGGGACTTCTCTGTGGAGAAGAAACTGGTTACTTAGACAAATTCTAAAGAGGCCTTGACACAGTAGCAATGTTCTGTAAGATATTCTGCCCTAAATCTCATCTTCAGGGACAAAACAGCACATCTTGTTTTAAGAATGTGTTCTTGGCAAAGGCTATCTCATTGAAGAGTTTTCAAATGAAATTGTGACACTCACTTGGCTTTTTTTAAGTTTGCTGTCTTCGAGGAAAGCACATTTCAGTGCAGCACTTTCAGGGATCATGGGAAGATTTGAGAGCCCCAGAGCTAGAACATAATGTGTAACCAACAACTTCAGGATGCGTTAGTGGTGACCGATGTACACATCACATCCACCTCATGAAAAGCAGACAGTCTCATGGCAGGATGCCTTTTGAAACTTGGGCAAATAGCATCCAACAGGCATAGACAGTACAGGTCACTTCCTACTAGGAACTAATATTTGTATGAAAACTAGTGCTCTAGGAAAGGATTCATAATGTCTGTGCGTCTCTGTGTGTGTGGTTTGTCACAATTAACTGACAGTATCCTGATAGTGGTATGAAATGTTCTGAAGGAGCATAGATAAGAGGAAAATTAGTGATGTTTCCTAAAAGGAAGGTGTCACAGAGAATTTAAGCTTAGTGTGGCCCCTGCTAAGTCTGTGGAGCCTGGAAACATGTAGGGGCAGATGACCAGGGTTAGACAGAAATATGCATCCAGAATTCAGAAGATATAGCAGCCTGTAGAAGGAGCAGGTATTTGGACACAAGGTAGTGAATGGCATACTAGTAAAGTAAATAGAACAAGAAGAGTAGACCAAAGAAGACCCAGTTAATATCAATTTCCAAGACTATGTAGAAAGATGAGAATGAGAAAAGAAGATAGAAAAGGTAGTCAGAGGGATAGGAGCAGAACCTGGAGAATATTCCCAGTAAGTCAAGGGAGTGGCAAGACTGATGAAGTGTGTTGGTTAGATAACTAACTGCATGAAATAGAGAGGCAAAGCTGACTTTGCCCAATGGCTTTTTCTGCTCAAAACAAGGAAGATCATCCTAACAAGGTTAACCAAGTGGAATGACCTGCTGCAGGAAATAGTATGCTCATCTTCACTGAAGGTGCACACAGAGATGCAAGGACCAGAGTAGTGGTGATGGAGTAAACGATCTTCCGACTCTAGGATCTTATGGTGAATTGCCATTCTATTACCATTTTCTTTGATGTTCATCTGCTCTTAAATGTTCATCAAATTAAGAAATATATATGTACGCATAAGGTTAGAAAACACAATTTACCATATCTACAAATATAATAAGAAAATCAAATGAGAGCCGGAGCTATACTATTGACAATCTGCCAACTGCTGAGTACATACTCTGTGCCTGCTGGAGTGCTTAGTGCTAAAAGGAGAGGGGAGAGCATAAAAGACACTTATGTGATTTTTGTCTAGTGAAATATAAAATAACTTCTTAGTTATTACAAAATAGGTCCGAGTATGTGCTCTAGGAAGGTTTTCCCCAACTCTCCAAAGTTCCTAAGTATTTGTTGACGGTTGTGCTCCCAGCATCAGTGGCTCTGATTCTCGGATTCCTTCTCAAATGCAAGTCTCCATAGCAGACAGATCCTTCCAAAACAAGGACAATGCAGTCCTGAGGAATGAGTGCAAGCAGAGGGCGACTTAGAAAGAAAGAAGCACACACTAAACACAGACAGGACTGAAGTCCCCTGGAATCTTAGGTTTCCAAGGAAATTACTCATTGATCAAAATTTCTTCTTGTTTAGAGGGCAAATGCATGGAGTCGTGCAAACAGGAGATGAGCTATTCTGTGGCTGGTTTTGGTATGAAGATCACCTTCACACTTGCACTCTCTTAGATCTTAGAAAGAGGATGATTTTTACTTAACTCAGAATAGTGTCCCTCAGACCCTCTCCCTTGTGCCATAGTAATCCTCCAAACAGTGTCCAAAAATCCTGTGGAGGCCTCAGTGCAGAGGATGGCTTTGCAGAGTCCATCATTACAGGTGAGATTATCAAAGGAAAGCTGAGAGGGGAGCATAGGTGTTCCTGCTACACGTGTCATCTGCACAAGAGCTGATCGGCAATGACTCTTCTCAGCGGGATCCATTTGAATTCTCTCTTGTTCTAGCTCCGTCTTTCTTTCTACTGCTTTTCAGTTGATGCATTTATGGTAATTTTACTTACGATGTAGCATGCATTAAGTACTGATATTCTAATTAAAGAAACACCTGGTCAAAATATAATTAGGCTTTTTTCCTTTATAAAGATTATTGACTTTCAAAGAACTCTTGTACAGAAAATCATATTAACATAAAATGTAATAAAAATTATTTGTTCTGCTTTGAGGTTTCAGGAGACCCTTCAGAATTATATATTGGCTCCAGGATAGATTTTTATTATTCTTTGGGACTAAAAATATAAAGCAGTACCAATTTGATGGAAATATACTGAGGTAAATTTGAACTCTTCAATGAGGGCAGTTGTAAACTAGTTTCTCTGCAGCACAGAGCAAAATGTACTACTGTCATTAGAACATTACTTCCTAAATTATTTTCCATGGAACACTGAGCTTAAAGATGTAATGTTTTGATGAAAACATAAGTTTCCCTGGCCAAATATGTTTTGGAAACACTGCATGGCCCAGAGCAAATTATCACATGAAATGCTGTGGGGAGTTCTGCATTAAAGGAGTCAGTTTACTGTAGCATTCCTCAAACCCATTTGAGCACAGAGAGGGTCTCCTTTAAAATGCACACTTTATCTATGAGAACCCAAGGAACACACTTTGGGAAATGTGGGAAGAGAGAATTTGCAGTGTCAGTCGCACGAGCATTCAACATGACATGGCCCGGGGCTGTTGAGAAGTAAATGCACTGAAACATTGAGCTTGAAAAACTCTGCATAAAAGTTACACTATTCATCACTTTTCTAATGGAATTATTCATTATTTATAGATCACAGGGGAAAAGCTTTAAAAAAATCTCCCTGGAAAAGAAACAATAAATTTACAATATTCAACCTATATCTGTGGTGGAGATGGGAAGCCCTGCAATGATGGATGTGGAAGGCTGGTGAGGAGAAGCCACTCAGGGGAGAGAAGATGCATAAAGGTGAAGGGCAGTGTCCACGTGCCCACGGGTATCTGTGCGCTTGTGTGTATATGGGGGTACGGATTGCCTGTGTTCGTTTATCTATAAGTGGGTGGGTTTCAGTTGTGTTTAATGGGTGAATGGGGATGTGTGTGTGAGGATGGGAGTGGGCATGGGGTGTGGGTGGGTGTGTGGGGGAGTGTTCTGAGAACTGGCCAGATCTCAAACCAGCTTTAGGAAATGAGAAAAGAATGAGAAAAAAAATGAAGCCAGGGGCCTAAGGTCCTGAGGAAAAGACAGTTTCCACAGTTTCTATTCTACAGTTGCTAAAGTAATAGGAAAAAAACAAACTCCTGGAGCTGAATCCTGAGCAAGAAATACAGAGAATGAAAAGCAAAGTGGAGTGTGGGAGGAGTATCTGCTTCTGCATTATTTGGGAGTGACTTAAAAACACACACCTAGGCAGGTTCTCTTCAGGGTCATTTCAGCGGAGCAAACACATCGCCTCATTTGCCTGCATCAGCTCAGCCTGGCCCCACTTCTCTGTGCGGCTGCCCTCTGCTGGTCGGAAGGGGCACATCAGCAGCAGCGTCCAGGATCAAAACTCCCCTCCCTGGTCACTGATGGAATATTTCAAATGGCTAACATGCCAGTGCCAGAGAGAGCAAGGCCAAGCCTTCCTGTCTCTCCCTTTATGACAGAGATATGCTCCTGCGAGAGAATTTTAGGCAGCTTCCAACTGTACTGACTTATTTTAATCCACTGAGATTTTACATTTTAAATATCTAAGTCTCTTGCTTGCATTCTTAAAGCTCATTTAATCTCTTTATCCTTTTGATCTTTTAGTTCCATCATATACTGTCATTTTAGTTTATTTTAAAATTGTGGGCCTACATTTCTTTATCTTTGTCTTCTTTTCTTAAATAAGACTTTAATTTCTTTGTATTTTGTCTATTTTCATTCTGCTTATTTGATTTGCATAATATTTTGTGTTTTGTGACTTTTACTTCTCTTATTTTTTATTAACATCTTTACTTTAAAAAATTATTGTTTTCAATCTTACAGTTTATGGAGTGGCCATTGGAAAGCATGGCCATAAAGATAGCGGCTACAATAATTCACTGCCAAGTACAGGAGGCTAGGATCCTATTTGGCCATCGAGTCAGTGCTGTAACGGTCTCTCTAGTCCCACATAATTGATCTCCCATTTTTTCCAATGTTGAACTCTATAAAAATTTTAACTTGAAATAATTCAGGAGACCATATAGTTCAAAACTACTTCCCAGAATAATACATTTAACTGTACTCACCATACAGACAATTGTTAGAAGAATACTGCTTTTAAATCGCACCTATCATCTATCCTCTCTACAAGGAGTATGTGATGTAAAACTTCAGTACAATCACGGGACATTGAGTTAAGCTTGATGGAAGCTCTGATACAATAGGAAGCAGCAGACAGTCCTCTGTTAAAGCAAGAAGTTGAATGCATTGCAAATGATTTGAGAGGTCAACAAGTTTGCATCCTTGAAATTACTGTCTCCATCTTACTGAAGAGGAAAATGATGCCCGAGACATTGCCCCATGGTCATTTAGCTAGGAAATGAGGACACCAGGATTTGAACAGAGCTCTTTTGGCTTTAAGCCCAGTGTTCCTTCCACTGAATCAGATTTCAGTTGAAATGAGCCTAATAAATCATAATTATAAAAATATATTTCAGGGCTGGCCCCATGGCTCAGTAGTTTAAGTTCACGCATGCCAATTCAGCAGCCCAAGGTTTTGCAGGTTTGGATCCTGGGCACAGACCTAGCAC